GTCTGTGTGTGTGTGTGTGTGTGTGTGTGTGTGTGTGTGTGTGTGGGTCTTGACATCAAAAGTCGTCACACAAAAAGAGATAATCAAATTATGATGAAAATAAAACAGATGGTCACATAAATCATCCATTCACATGCTGGACTGGTGCCTCTGTTGCAGAACAATGAATCACTGCCTATCAATGCTAGAATCGAAACATAAGAGCCGTTATGAATACAAAAAGCTCTTCCTGTTATTGTTACGTCCCAATACACAATATCACTGTGTGGACACATTTAGCAACACTTCAATTTAGACAAAATAAATGACGCAACTAAATCCGAGTGATAAGACAACAGTATTAAAGTAGTGGTTATAAAATAAAAATGTGTTTTATTCATGTGACTGTTTGTGTGTTTTTAGTTCAGAATGATTCTCCTTCATCAAACATTTGTCCTAGATTGAAGATTTTGGTGAAAAAACATTTCACAAATGTGTGCACCTTCTGTATCCACAGAAATCCTGAACTCCTGAACTAGATTTAAAAGGGAGCAGTCAGTCAGAGCTCCCTTTCTCAGTGTGCTGTCAGCATCTGTACATGCAGAAAAGCCTAATCAGAGAGATACCAGTAAAGTACATGTAATACTTTAGAGATTTAATGCAGTTTTTAATTGGATAGAGGCCCATTATTTTTCAATACAGAAGGGGCACTGAGGCACATAAAGCTCTTGAATATTTTTGCAAATCGTGTTCAACAGCATAATGATTAACCATGGCACTAAATTTGCCTCACAAAATGAAAAGCAAACTTCATGCAAGGCGTAATTTAATTGTTTCCCTTCACATTTTCTGCCTCCCATTGTTGGAAGCTTAACATTTTTAGAGTTTGCTTAACAGCTGCCTTCTGATGCTTGAGCCGCAACAATGTGACTGACAAATGTTTTGAAGACTTCCCAGTGTCTTTATAGGCAAAGTGTCAGGGAATCTTACATCACTTAATGTCACATTTGAAGCCTTATTACATGGATATATTTATACCTCTGTTTTTTTCATTGAAGGTTGCATATTACCGCAAATCATTCCGTTGGTTCCATATAACACATTGAATAATGCATCTAATGTTTCTGGTTGACATAACTCATAATATATTTCAGTTGCTCTAAGAAACCATTGATAACATTACATAAAAATCAGATGTTGTTAAATGACAATTATATTCCGAAAGGCCCTAACCCTGAATTTGAATGTTGTGTTTTACAAACAAATATACTCCACATCTGATCATTCTAAAGTCTTCTTATAACGAGATTATTCATCATACACATCACATAATTGTGTGAGCATTTTCATGTTTGTACAATAATACATTTGAGCAGTCACAACTCCAAGTCACATTTCCATTTCAACCTGAGGAGAACAGTGCCATCTGGGTGCAATTACTGGTAATGCAATCCTGAACCATTTGTTTTTGTGCATGAATATTCAGAATCAGAATCTGGAACAGAATGACGTTATTGGTCATGTCTGCTCACACATAATGACATGCACTGGTAACACACACACACCCACACAAACACACACACAGGGATTATTTTGTATAAACTATTAAATAGGTAAAGAAATAGGGAAGCAGTGTAGAAACAGAGGGAGACAATATCTATCCAAACAATGTTTCTGTGAAGATCTGGATCTGGTAATTGTAGAGGTGGGTGTCTGTACGAGGCAAAGCACGAAGACTGGCAGTTCTTATGTGTTTGTGTATATACATACAACGTGATTCTACAGAGATTATGGTGACACATCTACACAAAGGAGTGAATTAGTCATCAGTTCACTGTACTGTGGAATAACTGGTCTTGCGGGTGCTTGTGCCCAGAGCTCTGTAGATGCCAGTTAGGAGGGAGAGCAGATTTATTAAGCTTTGGTATGGGTGTGTGTGCAAATCTATCTGGATCGATGCAGAATGATATTTATGAGCATGTGCAACTCAGTGCAAAACAAAAATCCAAATCTGTTGAATTTGGGGGGGGGGGCTGTTGGGCTTTGGTGGAAGGCATGTGCTTTCTGAACACTATTCTGATTCAGTTTTGTGTTGTTTTTGTTAGCATGAAGGTTTCCTGTGCTGCTTCCTGTCCGTCAGGAAGTTGGTGATCATTTGACGGTTGGAGGCATGCAGGGTGAACTGGGTGGAGCTTAGCATGGATGTATGAGTTGTTAGTGGTTGTGTAGTGCGTTGGAGCAGATGCAAATTGTCCACATTGGCTAATAAAACCTACAGTAATCCAGTCATGCAGGTAATTCATTTTTCCAAGTACCTCCACTCAGGCACTTTAATTTCCTAAAACAGCTTGTTGGTGAATCTATGTTGCATTTTGTAAGAGAGGTTAAGTTTATGTATCTTTAATGTTTAGCCCAGCTACGTAAAAGGAAAATATTGAGTAAAAATAGATTTGCATTTTAGTTTTACATAAATGTAGGACGAGCAAGTGTGACAGGACAAGAAAATAGATACATTGGAATTATATATAAAAGAGGGAAATGGAAAATATCAGGCACCATTTCTCAGAAAAACATATTTTGGTTTACAGAGGAAAAAAATTAAAATAGTCACAGAGACTTTCTGCAGTGCTGTAGGTGCAGACTGATGTGTGAAGTGAGAACTCAAACACACTAAACAGTCCTCGTCCTGCATGAGCAGAGTGAGCGCTGATAATAAGTCTGAACATGATCTCACTTTTCCTGCATGCTATGCTCTTCTAATGCCAGAGGTTTACCATGTCAACTCACTGAATCCCAGTTTGGTTGAAAAGAAATTGACATCAGTGTTGGTTTGTAGTGCTGAGGAAATAAAGTGATAACAGCCTTCCTCTAAATCCAGCGGAATGGCAACTTTCCTCATTCAGCAACACAGAGACTTTTGAGGAGATGCCATTGCTGCCTCATTGGTTTTTTTTCCCTCCCTCTGATTACTCCTCTCATCTTATGTAAATCCTCTTAAGTCACATGTTATTGTTTATTGCAACTGTGAAGGTTAGGTGTTCCTAAGCCCTGTGCGTGTGCTTATCTCACCAGCGCATGCATCTTTGTCTCTCCAATGTGTCTTGTTTTCGTAATACACTAATGGATGAGAAAAGTTGTCTGGACTGATGCGGTGCAGACAACCAATCCACTGCAGTAAAATGCTAATCTCTCCCAGTGGCTAACAACTCTTCATGAAAGAGAGGCAGTTGCATGCTCCAGGGATATCACAGCATTATCAGTGGCCTGCTGCATTTGAGGGGATTTTTAAAATAATAGATAGAAACAATTCTAGAACACGTTTTTGAGTGAGTTTCAGTTATTTGGAGTATGTTTGTGTAGTAAGTTTGGACAAGTGGTTGTGGTCATGAGTTTTCTGAGTGATGATCAATTCTCCAATGATGGAGCAGAAGAGCAGAGAATATGTGAACATATGTTTCCAGTGGACTCTTTGATTTTCAGTTATGACACATGCTTTTCCTGTTCCGGTTTCCATCTATCCATTATCTCTGCAACTTTTCCTTTTTGAGAGTCACTGAAACCAATCCCAGTCGACATTGGGCAAGAGGCGTGGTCCAATGTAAACAGTTTGCCAGAGCCAACATATAGATACAAACTACCATTCTCTCACATTCACACTTACATTCAATTTACTGTCTCCAATGAAACTAACCCCAATCAGCATGTCTCTGGACTGTGGGAGGAAGCTGGAGTACAAAAGGGAAACCCAGGTACACACATGGGGAACATGTAAACTCTACACAGAAAGACCCCGGTCCAAATAAGTTTCAAACAAGGAATGAAAATCAACATATGGGGCAATGGAGACAAAGAGTCTTTTTATTCTCTTTTTGAGTTCAGATATGTCATGTAATGAAAAAACACTTTCAGTGGAGGACAGTTCAACACTAACTTAGATGTTGTTAGATCATACAACTACTAGCGTAAACACATTATATTGTGTAGCTGTTCTTTTGTCAGTTTGAGTTTCCTCAGTTGCAGCCTGTTGGAATACCTACAGCAACCAGCAGTGTTGAAACAAAACACCAAAATTAAATGACTACTATGCACGAACCCTAACCCTTTAATTGAATTATTCAAAACATTCAAAATACTGAACTTTGTGTGCAACATTATTCCTACAATCTCCTGCAAAACAACAGACCTAGTTGATAGGACCCGAAGGACTAGTAATGAACATGGTACACTTCTAAATCTTCATCATTCCTTGTTTTAGTGTACTGCTTTCACTAAATAGAAATATTCAATTTGCACCAAATCATTGAAAATAAAGAAGCTAGACACACTTGTTATAAGAGACCATTCATAAAAACAGGAGAGTGTTTTGAACCTTACATCTCAGTCAAGATTCTCAGTCATACAGGTTTCTTGTTCTGTGACGAAACAGTATTAAAGGGTTAGTTCACGCAAAAATGAAAATTCACTCATTACTCACCACTGTGCAGATGGGGGGGAGTGGGTGAAGTGTTTGAATCCACAAAACACTTTTGTAGTTTCAGGGGTAAACAGTGTTGCAGCCAAATCCAAAACAACTGAAGTAATTGGTGACTGGTTCCTCATAATGAATCACACAAGACAGTTGTGTTTTAATTGTCATTGGAATCTATGAATACATCAGTCAATGAAAGCACACAGTGTTATATCTATATATGATGCTCAGTCAGTTTCAAGCACAACAACATTTGATTAGGATTTCTATTATTTCTATTGTTAATTAAAGTTAACATAGAAATGGGCTTGTAATTTATTAATAATCCTAACTCTTATTAACTCAGTCTGTTCTTGTATGATTACAACACTGTGCGTGTTTATGGTATCAGATACCTTATGTACCATAAATAACATCATCAAACTTCACAAAACCCTTTAATAGATCATTAAAAACTTTATTAATTTAAAAATGGTTAATCTATCAGCAAAACAAGAAATATGGATACAATAATGTATTAAATCAATCAATTAAATGGGTGCAATTTACAAACTTTGACTTTAAGGACTTTTAAAAGAATAAAACATACAGAATACAGTAATGGATCATGGTGGAGGTAAGCCTCTTTGTCAGAAAATATGTGGCACAATAAAAGATGTCGATGACTCTAGTGGAACAAACATTTTACAAACAGATAGAATTTACAGTAAAAATAGCAGATGATAGAAACATAGTGGAGGCAGTACATGGTGCACTGGTCAGTACACTGTGAGAAAGTTTGAAACCCGAGGAAATGAATATAAACTGTATTCACATTAAAGTGAGCATAGAGTAACACTTTGTTCTTTGGCAGTTAGCATTTCAGCAGTGCTTCAGTCGTTGGTGATACTTGTGGTTTTCAAAATAACTAACTGAAGCCAGTAGAAGTTGGGTAGTGCTACAGTGTTGTCCTATCAAGGCCAGATTGTGATTTAGAGGCATTTAGTAATGATCCCACAGATGGCAGCTGTGCACCATTGGCTCCTCAGTGAAGCACATACGTCAAGTGTCTGAACCTGCGGCTCCTCTTGTACAGCTCCGTATCTTTGGAAGCAACAAATCAGTGGTCGGGTAAAACTAACCATGACAGTGCAAACAGCTCAATTTCTGGCTGAGAGGGTAGAGAGGTCGTTCTCTAACCTGAATGTCGGTGGTTCAATCCCAGTCTTCCCCATCTGCATGGCGGTGTCCTTGGGTGCGATACTGAACCTCTGAGGGCTGTGCTGTCATAGAGAAAGACCAACTGTCATCCTTATTCAATGATGTCTTATGTTAATATTGTTTTAATTTCAGATCAGTCCGTAGTTCACCTCCTGGGCACTGCCGAGGTGCCCTTGAGCAAGGCACCGAACCCCCCAATTGCACCCCAGGTGCCTTCATGGCTGCCCACTGTTCCGTGTGTGGTCACTGTGTGGATTGTGTTCCGTGTGTTAAATACAGAGGTCAAATTTCCCCATGTCTGCATGTTGCATGCTGTGTGTGGGACCGTAATCTTAATGTGTCTCCTTTCTTTTTCTATTGTCTTCTACTCATTATAGGACTAATTGATATACTTCAATTAATAAAATGTTACACATTTTTACACAGTGCTATTATATATTGTTTCAATAAAATAATACCAATATATTTCAACACTGTTCAGTCAATGACCTTAAAGTAAATATATTGCGTGTAATGTGACTTCAGAGCAGAGAGTAGATATTAATTTATTTCTGAAATTGGCTACAGCCTGACTTCACAGATTATATCTGCAGTCACCAGTGTCTAATTTAGGAAAACATCAGTATCAGCAAATATAGAAGATGACAGATGGCTTAAAAAACTACTTTCAAGAATCATATAGGGCCAAAAGCAACAACATCAAATACTTGGTATTTGCTACACACTTATGTTTTCAGTTGTGCTGTGATTGTCAGGAAATGAATATTGAATATAAAACATTACTCGCTCAATTTCATATCAAAATAAACAGAATACCTGTTGAAAAGTTTCAATAATCTTGTTTGTTTAGAGAGAACGGTACAATCAAACTGATATCTGGGAATGGAATATTATGGTAAATGGAATCCATTTCTACTTCTGTCTTCTACCAACTTGAAATACAATGACTGACAGTGTTTTTCGAAGTGGAGGCTGCTTTACCTGCACTCTATTGACTTGTAATCTCTGACTGTTTACATACATTGCATGAGTTGAGTTGGACATTCACAGATGCAGGAGGAGTCTACACCTCTTTATATACAGTCTATGGTCTACACTGAGGGGTCAGTGTTATCTCAGTGAACTTTGGACCACACACACACGCACACGCACACACACACCCACACACACACACACACACCCTCACCACCTCTCTCCTCACTGTCAGACCTGTGTCAGCAGTGCACAGCAGCAATGGAGCCCAGCGGGATCCTGATCAAGGGAGGCACTGTGGTGAACGAGGACCGCTCCGCCATCTGCGACGTCTACATAGAAAATGGGAAAATAGTAGAAGTTGGTTTGAACCTCCAGATCCCAGCGGGGGTGCGAGTCATCGATGCCACCGATAAACTGGTGATCCCGGGCGGCATCGACACGCACACGCACATGGAGCTGGCGTTCATGGGCACTAAGGCAGTGGATGATTTCTATATTGGAACCAAGGTTTGTTTTTAGCTGTATTGCATAAGCTGACTGGTCTCTGATGCGTTCAAGTTACATAGAGTTGTTAAAGTGAAACAGCTGGTGGAACCTCATTTCCTTCAATCTTCCAGACTTCTCAGAATCACCTTTGAATTAAATGTGGGCCAAACCACTGGACTCCCCTGCATGTGACTCTGAATATTTCTCTAAACTTTTCTCCAGGTTCGAGGTCAATACACTCTTATCCAGTCTCTGGCTGAATTCTCACGCCACATGCAAAACTAAAGATTAAGAACCAGCTCACTGTGGAGGCTTTAGGCACTTTCTAATTGATAGTTTCCCTTCCTATGGATTTGCCACGTGTTGCAGGTCTGTATGCAGGACAGAAACAAAGAGCAGATGCAAAAGAACAAATCTATCATCTCGAAGAACCACTTTTTGAATCCAATTCAGAGTGCACGCTACCAGTGCCAGGATATCAATCAATCAAATTTTATTTCACAATTTGTCTCATAGGGCTGAACACGGTGCAAATTCCTGTGTTCTTAACCCTCAACAAGAGTAAAGAGAAAAGACCTAATAAAAACCTATTAACAGGGGAAAAAATGTAGGAACCTCAGAGAGAGCCACATGTGAGGGGTCCATTCAAGGAAAATCTGTTTATGAGTCAAAGTCATGCATTCAAAATGTTAACTTACTAAAAGTATAAATAATATCAGCATCACAATATAACTCAAGAACCAACATTTCAATGATGATTTAATGATGTAGCAGGACCCATGATGATGCTGAATGCAGATCCCGTTAATGATTCCATTCTACATTCATGTAATAATTGACAGAAGGTGAAATGAGGATGGATTGTGTCAACGCTTAGCTTTGACTGAAGCAGTTACATTTTAACTTTTGTCTGTGTGCTAATGTTTCTGTTCCATCAGGCAGCTCTTGCAGGAGGGACCACAATGATCGTGGACTTTGTCATCCCCCAGAGGGGCAATTCTCTGCTGGAGGCCTACGACTGCTGGCGTCAGACAGCTGACCCCAAAGTTTGCTGCGACTATTCATTGCATGTTGCTGTCACATGGTGGAGTGACAAGGTGAATGAGCAAAGAGTTGTTGGTAAAAATAAAACTTCTTTTAACAATGCATAGTGTAGTGTAGTGTGTCATAGATGGCACCATGCAGACGTGTCTGTCTCCTTTTTTCAAAGGGACAAATGAGAATCACGTTTAATCAGAGAAATTCTTTCTTGTATTTCTCCAAACCTTTCTCCCCCTCAGGTCAAGAAAGAAATGGAGACTCTGGCCAAAGACAAAGGAGTGAACTCCTTCAAGATGTTTATGGCCTATAAAGACGTGTTCATGCTGGAGGACTCCGAGCTTTACGCTGCCTTCTCTCAGTGTAGGGAGATTGGAGCTATCGCTCAGGTTCATGCTGAGAATGGAGATCTGATCGCAGAGGTCAGTATGAGCACATGTGAAAAACACACACAGACAGACACACACACACACACACACACACACACACACACAGTCGAAGACAAGTCCCCAAACACACAAATACCTGGAATACACACACACACAGTGGGAGGTAATGTGTGACCTTGTCAACAGCTGAGTTGTTTTTTATGTAAGATGCAGGTGCCATAAACCAGTAGTCAGAAAATTCAGGTGTATTTGATATCAGTGCAGAATTAGCATTTTCAAATCAACAATCCTGACAGTTCTCAATGAATAGATGTTTTAAAGGTTCAGTGTGTAGAATTTTGTGATATGTAGTGTCGAAATTGCATGTTTCAGCTGAACACCCCTCACCTCACCCTCTCCTTCCAAACATGAAAAAGAACCTGTGGCACCTGTTCAGTTCTCATAAAAACTCAAAAGGTTTTTAGTTTGTCCAGTTTGGACTAATGTAAAAAAACATGGCAGACCTCCGGAGAAAGGACCCCTCCATGTAAATATAAAGTATTTCTGGGCTAAAGAAAACTACAATTCATACAATTTAGATGAAATGAACTAGTGAAAACATCCCGTTCACCTAAATCTGACACACTGGACCTGTAACTCAGTGTTTCTTCACCAGCTGGTGGAAAGTGACACTGATTTTGCAATGAGTTCAAATATTTATTTATATGGAAACCTTTCAACCTGGAGAATTTAGGATTGCCACAAGAATAATATTTTTTTCACCACTGATATTTTATCCTCTTACGTCTGCAAAAGCACATGCACAATTACATCATTTACATCCAATTAGGTGCCCCATTCTAAATTGTAAGCCTTTCATGCCACAGTTTGAGAGTCAACATTTGTGCCCTGGAAAAGCCCAGTATTTCTCATTGTGTTTGTTTTTTTTTAATCAAATGTCATGGCAACAATTCACCACTAGGGAGTAGCAAATGCCAGGAAAGCAACTTGTGGTTCTTGTGGTGGGGAACACATGATTCTTGCTGGGAAGTGTGTATAAGGTTTATTAAGTGTGTGTGGATTGTTAATGTTTCTAGTCACTTTTTTAATTAGCTTTTCACCATACACACAGTGTTTCTGTTGAAATGATGTGTTTTGGCCACAACCATTCCAAAACTGCTTTGCTTTCATCACATTTAACCTTTATCCTTCCTTGATGTCTCTGCTGGGGCCCGACAGGGGGCTAAGAAGATGCTGGCCCTGGGCATTACAGGGCCCGAGGGCCATGAGCTGTGTCGTCCAGAGGAGGTGGAGGCTGAGGCCACCCAGAGAGCCATTACCATAGCTCACTCTGTCAACTGCCCGCTCTATGTGGTCCATGTCATGAGCAAATCTGCTGCCAAGGTGGTGTCTAATGCACGCAGAGAGGGTGAGTGGGAGTTTGCTACCACCTGCTGTTTAAATAGAGGACAGCACGTGTTAGACGATAGGTTTGTCTCTGTCAATGTCAACATTCATTTCTCAATTGTTCCTGATCACCTTCACCGAGCAGTTCTGTTTTCATCTGCCTTTGTTATTTCCTTGTCTGTTAGTTAACTGGAATACACGAAACCTACTTGACAGATTAACTTGGTGGGAAGAACCCATTACATTTTGGTGTGGATGTGGATTAGGAGGCAGATTCATAAATGTTGAAATCGCTTTCTGTAATATTATGAGATTTTTCAACATTATCTTTGATTTCTCAGAGAATAATTTATAGATCTTAATGAAAAAAATCAGCCACGTTTAGGGGGCATATATTTATGAGTGTTTGCAATTTGGTGCGGATCCAAATAAGAATAAAGATCTAGTAAGTTTAAATGTTGTTTTATATGGGGACTGTTAGACTCTCTGTGTGCTACAGGTCGTGTGGTGTTCGGGGAGCCCATTGCAGCAGGGCTGGGTACAGATGGTACCCACTACTGGCACAAAGAGTGGTCCCATGCTGCTGGCTTTGTCATGGGTCCTCCACTTAGACCTGACCCCAGCACTCCTGGGTACCTTATGGACCTGCTGGCCAAGTAAGTGCAACTGAAAGTGTAGCAGGAGGCATATTGGTTACAAACTAATATCAGTAATTTGTATGTAAGAGAGATTTTAACAATATGAAATGATAATGAACAAATCAAATACTCAGACTCAAATGTGTCAACTGCAGAATTTATACATAAACACTCATTTGCATGGAAGTTTCAAGAATAACTCTAATAATGTGATTTATTTCTCTGTCATCATTCTAGTGATGATCTCAGTGTGACGGGAACAGACAACTGCACCTTCTCCGTGTGCCAGAAGGCCTTGGGAAAAGACGACTTCACCAAGATCCCTAACGGCGTGAACGGAGTGGAGGACAGGATGTCTGTCATCTGGGAGAAAGGAGTGGTATGTCCTAATCATAATAACTAACAGCTCTTTATCCGACGCTGCTCATCACTGAGTTATTAATCTGAGTAGAAGACATCTGAGCTGCAGTTGCTGCTGTGTAGAGCCATTACTGTCGTTACACAGTTTGCAATAATGTGGGCTGAAGAAAAGAGCACAAATAACCATATAAAGAATATAAATAATGTTTTACTAAATTGTTTTTAAAAAGCCCTGTTACGATGTGTCTTACGTCAGCTTGATAATTCTTACTGTGACTCACAGTCATGGCTGGTTACTCATCATGGATGGGACAACAGTGAGAAGGGGCCATTTAACATTTCTGCGTCATGAATATACAAACAATTTATCACAAGGCTTAATGTCTGACTAAGAATGTGTTTACCCTTTTAAAAAACTGAAATAAAAGAAATGAAAAGTATTTTGCAAACAGAAAATGAAGTAAACTCTTGGAGCTGCAGACGTTGCATTTTCTCGCCATTGTTGTGAAGTGTTTCAGCCCGGCCACCCCAAGGCCACGGGCAAAGATTTACCACATGTAACAGAGCTTGCAAATCACATTAGATGACATTTTGGCAGAAATGAGTTTTTCACTGCTCTGTTAAGCGTTTACCCCCGTCTGCTAATTCTTCACTGTGCCCCACCCCCCCGTACTCTAACTGGGTGCTTTGTGTATTTCTTTCCCTCAGCACAGCGGCAAAATGGATGAGAATCGATTTGTTGCCGTCACCAGCAGCAACGCAGCAAAAATCTTCAACTTCTACCCACAGAAAGGCCGTATCGCCAAGAACTCGGATGCTGATGTGGTTATATGGGACCCTAAACTGACAAGGTGAGGACCCTGACTCCAGCCATTCAGCAGACTGGGAGTAAGCCTTTAAAATACAGCTCCCAGACACTGTGTGTGTGTGTGTGTGTGTGTGTGTGTGTGTGTGTGTGTGTGTGTGTGTGTGTGTGTGTGNTGTGTGTGTGTGTGTGTGTGTGTGTGTGTGTGTGTGTGAGATGCACATCCTGTTTTGCTGCAGATGGTGCTGCTGAAGCACTGGGCAAACTGTAAAGCATGTCAAGCTTTCAGTTAAATAAGATGAGGCTTTTGAGCTTCACTTTGCGCCACATCAACAAACAAACAA